GCGCAGGTAACGCCCTTCACCCCTCGGGATGGAGCAGCAAAGGCCACGGATACCTGGGGGAGTCGAGGCTTTTCCAGCGCCCGTTTGAGCACCTCTGAACCCAGGCACCGATAACTGAGTCCTGAGTCAATCCTTCACGGACACGTGGGTGAGGTGGCCGCACGGGAGGGTATTTAGGGAAAACCCTGCTCTGCCGCCTGCCCATCGGGAGACGTGTCCGCGGGCAGCTGCGCAGGGTGAACACGGGATTCCCAGCCTGGAAAACACGTGGGATCGGCCCCAGGATCAACCTGCTGCAGCACTGCCATCATTCCCGCGACTGCTCTGCGAGGGAAACATCGGCTCCTTCAACAAGTCCATATGCAACATCTTCATTTTTCCCCAAGGACTGCTTTATATTGTATATGCTTTTTTTTTTTTTTTTTTTTTTGCATTTATATGCACACATCCTGCTGCGGTCACAGCTCTCTTGCTTGGCCCAGGGTGTTCGTCCTTGGCTCTGGACAGACGGACGGACGGATGGATGGACGGTCAAGGCAGCAAAATCCCCTTGCCCGATGCCAACCATGACGGGCGCCCCTGCTTTGCAAGCGTGGACTAAAAGGAAACAGCCCTGAGAACAGGCAGCAATCCCACCCTTGATGGCAGCCGTCCCACAGAGGTCACGAAAACACCGATTTCTTGTTCCACTTGTCCGAAGCAGAACAAAATGCAGAGAAAATAAAGGGGTCTCTCATGCGCGCTGACCAAACCCGCTTCCAAGTGGAATTCATTGGCAAGCAACACGGAAGCTTCCAGAATTTATTAGTCCTGATCCAGTTAAATGCTAATAACAGGAATCACCTTGCTCACAAGCCAAACCTTACAGAGGCCATGCGCTTAGTGCGGAGCTGGGATGTGGAGCTTGCGGCAGCGGGAAAGCACAAAGTGCCGCGGGAATCGCCTGGGAAAGGCGAGCGCGGCACCCCAGAACAAAACGCCCCCATTTGCGCAGAAATTGGCCAACGGCTTCACAAAAGCCATTAAAAATCTATGGACATGTTTCAGCCCGGAGAGACGGACCACAGCCTCCAATGGCTCTCCCTGGTGTAAGACTGTGAAACGCCCCCAAATCCCTGAATCCTAGAGTCGTTACGGCTGGGAAAGACCTTCAGGATGACCAAGGCCAACCATGGGCTCACCACGGGCCCTGGCTCCTGCCAGGATGGAGCCTCCCGGCGCTGGCTCCTGCTCCCCAAGGGCAGGTGGATCCGGCAGGACAGAGCGATCGGATGGGGCCTCTTCGCCCCTCGCCAGCCACAGACCCGCTCCCAAGGACTCCGAGCTTCCCGGCCGGCGCTCGCCTCTTCCGCCCTTCTCCCCGCCAACAGGATAAATCACCCGCTTATCCCAGCGGGTATTTACCCGCTCCGGCAAAGGCTGCCTCCATGACCCCCTCCATGACTGCTCCTATTGTACCGCTGAATGCCACTTGGAGCAGGTTTAGGGAATAAGGCACAGAAGGAACCAAGAACACGGCTCGCTCCGAGATCCCTGGGGACAGCCCTGCAGCTCCCAGTATCCTTGCTTGGAAAACCAGCAGGCAGAGGCAGGTCCGAACGCAACCAGCCGCAGCTGCATCATACCCATGATGAAAGGAAGGAAGGAGCCCCTGGAGCACGCGGTGGTGGACGAGGGCTCCTTCCCCAAAGGGAAGCGCAATCCTGCTACGTGCTGCGTCGCTGGATGCCCCTTCGGGACGGCGGGAGCAAAACACTTCAGGGCAGAGCCAGATTAGGGCTGTTCCCCTGGGATTTCCAGCCTTCCCCTTGGGCCCCAGGCTTTGTTTTTTTGTGTCCCAGCCGCGGGACCTGAGCCAGCGGGACGGTGTTTGTGACGGGGACGGCGTGTCCTGCTCTGCCACCAAACGTCTCCTGCGTCTGGCCTGGGATCAGCCTGCAAAGCCCACCGAGACTTGGGGACGCCCTGAGCCCTGGTTACGGGTTAAGCCCGATCATCCCTCATCCAGCAGCGTGCTCATTAGCTGCCCTGCCACTAAAGCCCCTGCTCTGCCCACAGGACAACGCATTTGCAAGGAGAGCACAAGGATGCCCGTTTTCAGGAGGGAGCACGCGGAGCTGCCGTGCCCGTCCGGGCGGCTGCGAAGGCGGAGAGCGGCTGCCTGCACCACGGAGATGGGATCTGGCCCTGGCTCCCGCTCCCAAACCCGGCTGCAACTGGCTTTCCGCGGGGCTCGGAGCGGCCGGGCAGGTGCTGCCCGGTGCCGGCCGCTCCGGCGGGACACAGGGCAGCGGCGGCTCCCAGGAAACACCGCCCTCGGGCGCAAGCGCTGCTCCCCCGGGCCTGACACCCAGCCCTTCCAAGGAGGGCTCATCCCTGCCGTTGTGCGCAGGGGCAGAACAAATCCTGCTGGGAAGTACCCTGTGCTTAGCTGTGCTTAGCGGGGCCGGGCTTATGGAGCGGGGAGTTGTGCTCAGCGAGGCCAGGCTTACGGAGCGGGGAGCTGTGCTTAGCGAGGCCGGGCTTACAGAGCGGGGAGTTGTGCTCAGCAAGGCCAGGCTTA